AAGGGGACCCAGGAGAAACAGCTCTGCCATGTGGCTTGCCAAGTGGTTTCATGGTGATGGGATTAGTTTCCTGGTTGTCTTTAGCCCATCATTCTGACTCAGAGTCCTTCCTGGTGGTACACGCCTTGTTCAGCCAAGATGGATGCCGGAGAGGAGGATCCTGGGAGGTGGTCGGACATGTGGTGTCTCCTTTTGACCTTTCCTGAACTCTTCCGGTCAGTGGAGGCTTATTAGCTCTGTGTCCCTTACCAGGCCCTCCTGTCGTAAAAAAATTCATGCAGATGGTCACTATGGGGCCTGGCCGGGGTGGGCGGTTCCAGTCAGCGTGCTTCCCCTCACAGTGATGTGGGGTGGCTCTGGCCACTGCATGCAGAGGGTCCAGAGAGGGCTTTCTGCAGGGGCCCACGTCCTGGAGACCGCAGCCTGTGTCAGGAGGGTGGGTCATTTGAGAGCTGCTTAAAGGGAGAGTGCTGGGGGTTGGTGATAGACGGGGCGGGGGGGGGGGAGGATGGCCGGGGAAGGTCAAGAATGACTGCTCACCCTTGGCTTGCGTGGCTGGATGGACACCAGGGTTGGGGCAGGGACACGGCAAGAGGTGCTGACTCTGTCCTCAGTGACACTGACGTGCTTTCCAGATGCTCAGCATATGATGCTGCGTAGACGCGGCGCAGAGGGACCCAAAGCAGAGGAGGCTCTGCTTCAGTCTAGACTGGAGCTTCAGTGAAAGCGGATGGGTAGGGACCCCGGGAAGCCAGTGTGAACTTCAGTGTTTCAGATGTTCCGGGGGAACGGAACAGAGCAGGAGAAACAGAAGCCGTGATGGGACACAGCGGGAAATGACCCTCTGGGAACAGATCAGAGTACCCAGTTTTCAGACGTGATGGTGTTGCAGGGGAGACCGAAGCGGCTCCCATTCAGGCAGAAAGGTTTTTTCCTAGGGACTGAACAGTGCATCAGAAGTGTAGCGGTTGTACCTAAGTGTCTACAAAATGAATCATTAAAAACTCCTCAGAGTTTTAGTAACAAACACGAGCTATTAAGAAGTGAATATATTTTAAGCACTTGAATTATAACTCCATACATCCACCACCATAACTGGAGTCAGTGAGCCATTGAATGCAATGAGCTATAAGCCTTTGAAGTTTTCCAGAATGGATGGTGTCTCTGTAAAGTAACACGTGTTCTTGAGAAACCTTGAATCGTGCAAACTCATCTGCTGAAAATAGCAAGGATTTGAGGAAATGGAGTGTTGGGAGAGAATACTCAAAACCTTGGAGTCTTATTAAGCAGAGCACTGGGTGCTGAGTCCCTCAGATGTGTCCGACTCTTTGTGACCCCAGGGACTGCAGCCCGCCAGGCTTCCCTGTCCGTGGGATTCTCCAGGCAAGAATACTGGAGTGGGTTGCCATGCCCTCCTACAGGGGATCTTCCAGAGCCAGGGACTGAACCTGCGTCTCTCATGTCTCCTGCGTTGGCAGGCGGGTTCTTTACCACTGGGAAGCCTAGAACACTAACCCCTCACCACCCCTCCGCCCAAACTCAACGCTAGTAAAGGTACCCTTGTGTGGAGAAACGCGTGTTAAATTCCTAATACGGGAAATACGCTGCGGTGTGTACGGAACTTCACTGTAATGAAGAGAAAGGCGACGGCCTGGTGGAAGAGCAGGGGGCGGAGGGGGGAAGCTGGCCCTGCAGGCGAGAATACCAGTGGGCGTCTACAGGGGCGGCTGTGCTGGGCCGTCTCTGCTCGCTTCCTTTGACAAAGATCCAGGCGGCTCCTGTGACGTGGAGTCTTTCACAACTGAACACGTGACCAAACAGGACCAAGAGGGGCCGCGTGGGGTCAGAAGGCATCGTTTACAGAAGACCGCGCCTCTGCGTCCTGCCCTGCTCACCATGTCCGGCTTCTGTGTTCAGCGCGGGGACCTGGAACCGCCGTGTGCTGGGGACGTTTGCCCAGGCCCACTGCAGCTTTTACGTTACGTTCACACGTCGTCAGTCCCAGCTCCATGGGTGAACCTGCGTTTTATAAAACATGCGCCCCCAGCAAACCCGCTGTGTTTCATAAGCAGCCTACAAGTGTCTAGACGTTGTTTGCTTGTGTAGAGCCCAGGTGGTGGGAGATGCTGACCGCGGGTCTTCTGGAAGGAGAAGCTGACCTTGAACCACCCTGCCTGCGGACTGTGCGTGAGCAACACCTGCTCTGACTCCTCTAGCTAAAGATCTTCTTGTAACTGTGAGGGGTGTCTGTGTCTGTTATTTATGATCCGGTTGAGTTTATCCTAATTATTTGGGAGATGCGTGTGGTTCTTTCCAGACACAGCGCTCATCTCTTACATAAAATCAAGTTCCGATTCCTGGATCGTGACAAACACGAGCCAAAATTCTTCCAAAAACTGAAAATAACATCCAGAATTAAAGTTCTTCTGAAGACAGCAGTTAGAAGAATGGAAAGTAGATCCCTAAAACAAATGTTCCCTGAGGAAGAGATGCCAAACTCTTCCATTTTTTAATCAGTTACATTTCCTAGTCTCATAATTTATTTCATCCTCCTTTTGTTTTTTCTTGAGTGGAAAAAATTAACACCTTAAAGCACAAAGGTATGCTGTAGGTTAATTGAATTGCAGAAAAGAAGTCGGAAGCTGCCAGCTTTTCTGAATTATAATCACAGGAAATAAACTTTGCATCCTTCTACACAAAACCTGCATTCTTGGATTTTGCCTGCCGTGTGTCACTTTTTCTTCTTCTTTGAAGAAATTTTGAGCTAAACTAAGGGGGATAGTTGAGAAGAAAAGATAAGTTGTTCATGACGCGGGATCTGAGGCTGATGGCCCCTCTGGAGGGTGACCTTTCTCCTGTGACAGGGAGTTGACCCATTTTAGGTCTGATTGTAGACTCACTCCCCTTCGAGGCTATGCCACTGATTAGCGTGTCGTCTAGTCGCTAAGTTCCATCCGCAGCTCGGTAAATCATGTTTAGTTCCTCAGGAAGTTAATACTTACGGTCTTTGAACTTATTAGTATTGGTCTCAGTTCATGTGAATTGAACCCTGTGTTCAAGATGAGGGTGTCGGTCCAAACAAAGCTGCAACCCCTACGTCGTGGCCTGCATCATCACACAGAAAGACAATTAACCTTCAAAATGTGCCCGGTTATCCCTGCGATGACATCATTGGGAAAGGGGGTTTCACTCAACACGCAGAGCCGTGACATCTGCCTGTGGATAGGCGTTCCGAGGGCCGTGAACTGAGGCTGATCACATGGGTGATAACACGGTTTTACCCTTTTTGCTTGGTGAGATGAGCTGTGGTTAGAAGGCGACTGTGGAATTCAGCAGATTCAGGGAGGTGCGTGCATCGGGGAGACGGGGAGACACACCACGGGCCTGTGGCTGCGGGAAACTCCGCGAGTCGTTGAGGGGAAGCTGATGGGGGAGCGGGCAGGAGGGGTCCTTCCCAGCAGAGGCTGGGGGAGACGGTTGCGTTGAGGAGGCCGAGCCTTGAGGTCAGACGCGTCCAGGTCTTATGAAGTGGGTAGGGGGCAGAGTCCGGGGGAAGTAGCTCCCAGGAGGCATTCTCAGGGCACAGCTTAGGCGCTGCAGCTTCACGTGGTCCTAAAGAGAAGGAAAAGAGAGAATTGTTTCTGAAACTCCCATCTGGGGACTTCCCTGATGGTCCAGTGGTTAAGACTCTGTGCTCCCAATGCAAGGGGCGCAGGTTTGATCCTTGGTGGGGGAACTAGATCCAGCATGGTACACAGCTCGACCTAAAAAAAAAATTCCAGTCTGCTCCCAGCAGCGGCTTTCCCGGGGATGTTTGGGAAAGAGTTGATGGGGAAGGCTGGAAGCAGACACCCAGGGGAGGGACACAAATCCCTTATCGCGGCATCGGGAGGAATTATTGTATGAATTCCTTTATTTTTTTTCTTTTAAATTTCTTTATTTTTTTAATTGAAGGATAATTGCTTTACAGAATTGTGTTGGTTTCTGCCAGACATCAACAGGAATCAGCCGTAGGTATACGCATGTCCCCTCCCTCTTGAACTGCTTTTATTTTGCTGCTTTCTCCTGAAATTGCTAGCGCTGACTAAGCCGCTCTTGGCAAAGCACAGTGGCCATGGCTGAGATTTCAAACTGGTGGACGTGCTGTGCTGACTGGGAAGCAGAACACCGTGAGGTCGAGTTAGCCCACCGTGTCCCTTCCAAGGGCGGTCAGTGCAATTCTCATGGTGTAGGTTTGTTGTTGTTTTTTTTTAAATCATTTTGTTACAAAACTGCTGGGGACATTTTATGAACAATTAGATGCTTGCGTCCACAGATCTGGAGAGAAGCTCTGCTCTCGGAGCCTCAGGAGGCCAGGGGAACAGGGAATCCCTCCGTGGCTTCGGGTCGAGCTGTGTGGCCTCTTGGCTAAGTTCTCACTGCTACGTTTCTCCGGGGGAGACACTCCCCAGGGTGCAAGGAGGTCGGTTTCAAAATGCCAAGAGTAGGGTCTCCAAGGAAAAGATGCCTAAGAGCAGTATCAGCAGCGACACTGAGAATCCCTTTCTCAGCGGCCGTTCTGCAGCCTCCCGGGTGAGAGGAGGGACCGGGCCCCTGGACGTGGCGGCGGGACCGGTGCCCACCGCCCCGAGCTGCCCGCCCCCGTGGCTGCAGGCCAGGGGCTCGCTCAAGACGGACAGGCTGGCAACAGAGCAGGTGGCCGGCCTCAGCGAGCTGGCCACCCCGTGGAAAGAGCAGGCCCTATATTAAGCAAGTGACCCCGGGGCGCTCGATTAAGTCAGTTACTAAACGCGGTTCTGACTTACCCTGGCCCCGAGGAAGCAGGGCCATGCCCTCGCCGCCCCCCCTCTGGGGTAATGCCCGCCAAGAACCGGCCTAAATGTTTACAAACGTCTCTGGGAGGTTTGCTCTGTGCCATGTGAAGGCGTCAGAGCCTACATGCCTGAGGGGGACGGCTGCTCGGCTCCCCGGCACAGCTGACCTCCCTCCCAAGAGGGGACATGCTCTCCCGCCTGCGGCAAGCCTTCTCCAGAGTCTACGGGGCACTGCTAGTAAGTACTCCGGCTTGTGTCGTGAAGGAGCTCTCGGGAGGGGCCACGGCTCTCTTTTCAAACGATGCCTGGTCCTGTTTGGGAACCAAGCTGGCCGGTCACTTAGGGTGATGGATTTTCAAAGGCGTGCATGATGTTTGTAAGCCTTTTTGCCACCTCTTCTTATTTTATTTGATATGAAAGTTAGAGCCTGATTTTAAAACAGTCACTTTTCTCGCTGTATCTCCGTTTGGACCCAGTCTCGGTCCCCTTCGTTTCTGCCTGCCTTTCCACTCTCCATCGCGGGAGCGTCCCGTCCTGCAGAGCGGACGCCCTGTCCTCTGTCCCTTGATCTTGTTCGTGACTTTGCTCACGCTCGGGTGCTCCCGTGTGCCTGCCCCCTGGCTGCGTGCTTGCAGGGGACGTCCTGTGATGTCGCTCCAGTGAGGGGTGATTTCCGTCTGTCTGCAGCTTGAGCATCCGGTCGGGGGGAGCTGTGTTCACTTCTTTTCTTTCTCCCGAACTTCTCTCCATTTTCCTTTTTTATCCTGTTTTATCCTGCTTTTCTCCTTCCCCTCCCTGCGCTCCCTTCCCTAAGACGGCAGGTCCCATGTGGGTGACGATCGGCCGGTCTGGGGCCTGGTCTGGGGGCTTGGTCTCCAGGACCCTCACACCTGCCTCTCCAGCTCCTCCTCTCACATGCCTTTTGCTTTAAGTGCAGCTCGGCTCATTTGTGGTTCTCTGTCCCGTTACTGGTCCCAGATCAAGGGGATGGTTGTCACTGGTCAGCACAGCTTCCCGGAGCATCTTTAGTGCTGCCGGGTCCTGAAGCCTGGGCAGCTTCCTACCCCCCTTCCTGTGGTTCTTGCTCTTCTAGTCTGTGGGTAAGCAGGCTCCCCTGGTGGCTCAGCGGTGATGAATCCACGTGCCAGTGCAGGAGATGCAGGCTCCATCCCTGGGTCAGAGAGATCCCCCGGAGAAGGACATGACCACCCACTCCAGTACTCTTGCCTGGAGAATCTCATGGACAGAGGAGCCTGGTGGGCTACCGTCCATGGGGTCACAAAGAGTCAGCCATGACTTAGCATGCAAAACACGAAACATGCATGACTGTCACGTGTCAGAGCTGCATACATACCTATCACGACAGATTACAGGCTTCCACTGGTGACGCCTGGATCTTGTTATGTGTAAAGCCACCAAGAAAACATACAAACGATGTTGTTGATGATCATCGATACTGTACACTGTTTATGACCGAGTGAACCCCTATTTATTTAATGTTTTCAATTAATTTATTTAATGTTTTCAGCTAATGTTCTTTATAAAACACAGCCATGGAGACAGGCAAGCCAAGTGGGAAGGCTTGTGAGCATCCATCCGCAGCAGGCATGCTCAGAGACCACGGAAAGGGCCGCTTGCGTCTCCCACAGCACGTGTGGTGTATCGTCACACGTCCGAGATGAGGACTGGCCGTGGAGAGCAGCAGTGTCTGCTCTGTAGGGCCTGTGCTCCCATTGTGCAGATGAGAAGGTGGAGTCTTCTCCAGAGGAGGCGAGTCGCTCGGTTACCCAGATGCTGGTGAAACCGGAGTGCAGCCCACGCAGGGCAACTGCAGGGCAGAGACCCGCCTGCCCCCTGCCTCCGGCAGCCCAGCCCCAGTGACAAGCCCCCACCTCCCGCAGAGAGGGGAGCCACGCCCACATGCCCAGAGATGCTGCCTCCAGGAGCAGGGCACCAGGGGCCTGTGCCTCTGATGCTGGCCAGGTGTCTTTAGAGGGTCTGAGCCTGTCAGAGCCATCCATGGCCGTCACCACATACTACAGCATCTGGGCCATCAGTGTCTGCTTTCCCCACCCACCCTGGGCCCCGGTGGCCTTCTGCATCGGCAGGTCTGTCTGCACATCAGCCCTGCAGCGGGGATGCGCTGGGTCCCAGAGCAGACCCTGTAGAAGAGCTCTGGGCGCTTCTTGTGCGTGTGTGAGCGCCTCTGAGCAGGGCCGCCCGCAGTGGAGCTGGTGACGGGCCTGGGCTGTGCAGTGACCATGGGCGGGAGGGCTCCCTGACCGGGGCCGTCGCGTCCATGGGGGCAGGGCTGTCCAGCGTCTTGCCTTTATCCTCCCCTTACACTCCCGCCGTGGGCTTTCCCCGGACTGGGCACCTCCCAGGACCCAGGGAGGGACCTGCTCAAGACTCCAGGCTCCGCCAGCGGGATCAGGGCTGCAGAGATGCTGGTGGTCCCGCCCCAACTGCCTGTCTGTCAGCCTGGAGGCTCAGGACCAACTTGGCGGGTGGCTTCCCGGGTTACCACCTCTCTCTGCAGCATGGGGCGCCCTCCAGAGCAGATGGACACCCACTGTCCCAGCGCCCTGCCCAGGGTCTGGGCTCAGGCCCTGGCAGTGAGGGCCTGGAAGGTACCGGCTGCCTGAGCTCTGGGTGGACAGTTCGTTTAGAGGTACCAAATATTTGGTTAGGAATTATGGAAGGTTTATTTAAATGAAGTTGTTTATAAAACAGAAGCAGACCTACAGGCATGGAAAGCAAGCTTGCCGTTACCAAAGGGGAAAGGAGCAGAGAGGGATAAATCAGGAGGTTGGGATTATCATCCGTGCTGTGCTCAGCTGTGTCAGCTCTGTGCGACCTCATGGACTGTATACCCCGCCAGGCTCCTCTGTCCATGGGATTTCCCAGGAAAGGATACTGGAGTGGGTTGCCATTGCCTTCTCCAGGGGATCATCCCCACCCAGGGATCGAACCCGCATCTCTTTTGTTTCCTGCATTGGCAGGCAGGTGGTTTGCCACTGAGCTACCTGAGAAGCCTCTAACAGATACACACTACTATATATAAGATGGGCTTCCCTGCTGGCTCAGATGGTAAAGAATCCGCCTGCAATGTGGGAGACCTGGGTTCAATCCCTGGGTTGGGAAGATCCCCTGGAGGAGGGCATGGCAACCCACTCCAGTATTTCTGCCTGGAGAATCCCATGGACAGAGGAGCCTGGTGGGCTACAGTCCATAGGGTCACAAAGAGTCAGACATGACTGAGCGATGAAGCACATATGTAAGATAGATAACCAACAGAGACCCATTGAATAGCACAGGAACTCCACTCGGTATTTTGAAATAACCTACAAGGGAAAAAAAAATCTGACTAAGAGTAAGTATATATGTATAAATAACTGAATCATAGTGCTGTGTATTATCTGAAACCAAGGTAACATTGTAAATCAACTATGCTTCAGTTTTTAAAAACGGATGTTGGATGTTGTCTGATGCCTTTTAGCACCCAAGAATATGGGGGAAAGTGAATGCACGTGGCTCCTAGCAGCAGAAGCCATTTTATCTGCCACCCGCACCTCTCCTGCAGGGTCTGTCCAGCACCCCCCTCCGGGCCTGCCCGGAAGGGCCCCTGGGGAATTACCAGTGACAATGGCTGGGCGCAGCCTACCTCTGTCTCCTCTGCATCCTCTTCTTTACCTGCTCACCCAAGAAGATGGTGGTGGTTTTCCTACGGCGCCCATTTGTGTTGCCCTTTTCCTCATCAGACGGAGGGGACGCACACAGCCTGTGTCGGAGGTCTGAGTCGGAGATTTCCCTGAAAACCTCACGATCTCTGTTCTCAACCCCAGGCGCCTGAGTCTGAGCGTCTCTTCCTCTGAATTCAGGTTTGAGTTCTGTTTGCAGAAGGGGACCCATGCCTCCCGCAGCAGGAGAAATGGTGTAAATGCACGTGGAGGTGGGAAGGACCGGGGTGGGGAGACCAGCGGGTTTGTGGTGTGAAGCCTTAGGGCGGCCGCCTTTCTGCCTGGGGTAGGGTCTGGGGGCGGCTCTGATTCCGGCAGGTCTTGCGAGGGGCAGAGAAGAAGATGCTGCCTTCGGGTGGAGCCGGCTTGCCTTGCAGTGGTTGCGGGCGTTATGACCCAAGAAGGTGAGAGCTGAGTCTGGTCACCTGAAGCGCTTGGCTCCATCCTGACACTCCCGCGGAGGCCGGCCGGGCAGAGCCCCTTTCTCAGGACACGTGGGTCGTTGGACAGGAATGGCCGGGGTGAAAAGCAGCCCGTTTGGCAGCTGCGTCTTGGAGAAACAGCGATCGGGAGTGCTGGGAGTGTGAGCCACGGGATGATGGGAGATGCTGGGAGATGCTGCCCCGTGGGCAGAGGGGCCCTGTCTGCTCAGAAAGAGCTGAGCCCCGTGAATGTTGGCAGACTGCACCCCGCGCTGGCGATGGGGGCTGACATGAGCGGTGGTGTCGAGGATGGAGGGACTGGCGCCCGTGGGGGCCTCCTCGGTGTTCCCGGGGCCTCAGCTCCCCGACCCGCGAGCTCTTCTTCAGGGAGATGTGCAGAGGAGGGGGCGGGAAGGGTCTGGGCCCAGGGAGGCAGGCACTCTCTCTGCAGGGGGTCAGGGTCTTCGGGGGGACAGGGTGCCCTCAGCACCCCCAGGGCTGTCCCTGGGGCTGGGCTGGGCGCTTGGCCTGGGATCCCTCCTTCTGGGAGAGGCGAGACCAGTGACGTCCTTGCCCTTTGCACCGCACATCTCTGTCCACCCGGCGGGTCGGGGCATCTTCCTCGGCCTTTGGCCTCCACCTCGAAGGGGTTCCGTCTGCATCGTGAGCCCTTAGCTGCTTCCTCAGGCCCAGGTTCTCTCGATGACTGTGACTTCCTGGGGCTCACGTGTGCGTGGGTGTGCAGCTGTGACCATGCAGGTGTGTGTGTGGGGGGACCCACGGCTCAGGCTCCCTGGACCCCTGACCCCCGTGCTGGTCCACGCCCTCCCCACCTTTCACTTCCAGCCTCTCTCACTGCTGCTGCGACAAATGTGTTCTCACCCTGGTGCGTGCTGCCGCGTGCTAAGCAGCTTTGGTCGTGTCTGACTCTTGGCAGCCCTGTGGACTGTAGCCTGCCAGGCTCCTCTGTCCATGGGGATTTTCCAGGCAGGAATACTGGAGTGGGCTGCCATGCCCTCTTCCAGGGGATCTTCCAGACCCAGGGATTGAACCCGAGTCTCCTAAGTCTACCTGCATTGTCAGCAGGCGGGTTCTTTAACACTAGCGCCTCCTGGAACGCCTTCACCCAGGTCTCTACCCAATTCACTGACTCCGTGATGTTAGCAGAGCGAGTTGGGCTCTTCAGACCTTAGATTTTATATCTGGAAAGTGAAGTTGAGGTAAAATTCAAGATTCTTTTTTTTTTAATTGATAGATAGTTGATTTAGAATATTGTGTTAGTTACAGGGGTATATAAAAGCAAATTGGGGTCTTTGCAGATTATATTCCATTTTAGGTTATTGCAACATATCAGGTATAAATCCCTGTGTAACACAGTAGATCCTTGTTGCTCAGAGATCTGAAATTCTGATTCCTGGCTTAAAAGACAGGTGTTAGCCATGCTCCAGGCACTGTCCTGACTGCATTCCACACAATGATTCATTTATTCCTCCTCATTCTCAGGAGGGCCGCACAATTACTCTCCCGTTTTACAGATGAGGAAACCGAGGCGAGTGTGTTGGCGGCTGTAAGCTCATTCCAAAGCTCACGTCGAGTCCGGGATCATGTCAGGCAGCTGACCCGGGCACTTCCCCTGCCGGCCCAGCTGCGCCCTGCCAGCCTCTCCTGCACCAGCCCCCCACCCAGGTGTCATGTCACCTCCTGCCCCTCCATCAGCCGGCCTTCTTCCCTCAATACCCGGTGGTGACTGAATCGCTCCTGCCCTTTGCTGAGCAGCCACGAGTGGACGTAGTGACGTGGTGGGGATCCCCGAGCACTGACTTGTGACCAGGGGTCACCGCCGGCCTCTCCGGGAGGCCCTGCCCTCCGCAAGGATGAGGCTCGCCAGTGGGAATGTGGTGTCCTGGTAGGACCGAGGGGGGAGAGCACAGCCTGCCCTGGGCTGGCCCTGGGTCCCCCCGGTGCAGCGGCTCCAGCAGACTCAGGGTCCTTCTCGCCCCCAGATGCCCTGACGCACAGCCTTGGGGAGCAGGGGAGACACCCAAGGTTCTGAAGGGCAGGCAGAGAAGGAGAAGGATTGCTTCTGCACCCAGCGCACCCCTCCCTCCTCAGCCCAGGTCTGCGTCCTCCTCTCTTGCTTTCAGTCCTCCCCGCACCTCCTTCCATTCCACCCCCGCCCCTCACCATCACCCCTGCCGGCTCGTCCCGAGCTGGGAGGTCTAGACCAGGGATGAACCCCTCCTGCTAACGGCACCCTTGGGTGCAGGCTGGCATCCTTGGTGGTGAGTGCATGTGCAGTCCACACTCTGAGATGATTCTGGCGAACACGGTTACACACAGCTCTGCTCACACAGACCCAGACAGTCTTTCACGCCGGGCGGCGTCACGAGCCTCCTGCTGCTTGCTGAGACAGTGCTTGCCCTCTTCCAACACTCCCAGATTTAGTTTGTGTGAGCGTGCTGTGTTCGCTTCTTAGCACAGAAAATCAAAGTCTAAGAAGCCACATCTGAACAAATAAAAGTGATTGGGCTTCATGCAATCCAAACAATCCAGCAAACTAGCTCCATGGGAAAACAAACACGGTGACATCAGCCGGACATCAGCAGTTTTATAAAAGTTTTTGGGAAACTCCCTCTAAACCACCTCCACCTTAGCAGTTTAGAGGCAGGAAATCCCCTGGCCTCTGCGAGTCTGGCCCTGACTCCCGCAGCTGCAGGGGGCATGCCCAGGTCGGGACAGGGCTACTTGGCTTTCAGGAATGGTCTGTCAAGAACCCCGAGTTACCCTCTGTAAGAGTGGCTTATACTGGGTAAACCGCTGAACATGTGGCTGTCCCGTGGGGTCCATAGCATCACAGCCCTCGTCTGAGAGCCGGGTGTGAAGAAGGCGCCCGCTTCTCGGCCTGAGGTTGGGCTCCAGTGGGATAAGCCAGCGGCCCTGGTCACCCTGCTCCACCCACAACAGATGCCAGCGGGCAGTGCTGTCGTGACGGAGGCCTTCACAGTGTCAGAGCCGGCGGCGGGGTCGGGGTGGGGAGAGGAGAGTGGCTGCTCTGCTGTTTCTCTCCTATGAGCAGCGGTGTGCAGGCAGGCCGGTGGTGCAGAGACGTGGCCTGCTGTCTCTCTTCTCCATGCGTTGTTCCAGCAGCTCTGGGAAGGGCTGCCCTGAAAGGTGACCTGCAGTGGCCTCTCGGTCCTTCCCCGCTTGCCATAGACGTGGTGGAAGTACAGATGAGAGACACATAGTCTCCGGCAGTCCAGGCAGACTTCCTGGAAGAAGTGGTGTGTCTCTCACGGGAGGAACGGGATGGGCCAGAGGGGGGCAGGCAGGAGCGCAGGAGGAGGCAGGCTGGGGCGCCAGGGGCCATGGGTGTGCCTGCGTCTGTATGAGGAGGCCAGGCTGCGGGGCGTGGTGTGCGCTGGGCGTGGCTTATCAGTGGTTCTCCATCCTGACCCTAGGGCAGGGAGGAGACAGGGTCTGGGGTCCTCTCTGGTTCTAGCAGAGAGGGAGGAGGGACAGGAGTACATGGTGGTGGAGACCAGGGCACCATCAAATCCGCGGCCCTGGGGATCGCCCCGTCTTCCTGCCCGTGTGTTAAACCCTCCGTGGGCATCTTCCCGGGGCCTGAGCAGCAGGCTCCCCCCATCTGAGCTCTGGGTCTCTCTGCTCCTGAAGGTTCGAGGTTCCGGGATGCATTCTCCTTCTGTGGCTCTGAGAGACGGTGATTTTCCTGACAGGAACCCAGTGCTCGGAAAAGGACCTTTATTGCTGGATGGAGGGAAGTGTGTATAGTCCTGGATCATCCTGTGATGAGTCTCTGATTTATCACAAATGAAACTCGATGTCACGTGGCCCCTTGGGGTTCTCCAGCCAAGAGTACTAGAGTGGGTTGCTGTGCCTTCATCCCAGGGGTCTTCCCGACCCAGGGATTGAACCCACGTTTCTTGCGTCCCCTGCATTAGCAGGTGGGGTTCTTTAGCAGACGGGTTCTTTACCACTAGCGCCACCATGGAAGCCCCATAAGTCATTGTGAAAGTGTTAGTTGCTGACTCGTGTCTGACTCTTTGTGACCCCATGGACCGTAGCCCACCAGGCTCTGTCCATGGGATCCTCCAGGCAAGAACACTGCAGTGGGTTGCCATTCCCTTCTCCAGGGGATCTTCCCGACCCAGGGATCGAACCGGGCTCTCCTGCATTGCAGACAGATTCTTTACCATCTGAGCTACAGCGGTAAATTCAAAACTGGCCAGTTCACACTGAAACAGTTTGAAGAGCTTCCCATCTCTGGAGCTCAGGGAGCCAGAACTGTAGATTGTGACGGACTCTATGAGCGGACGTCTGTTCCCTGTTCACTCCTTGCTGGATTTGGAGCATGCTGTTACCTTTCCTGCTTTGTCAGTGCTTTCTCCTAATTAAAAGGATTTTTATATATGAAAACCTCTCGAGGCTTTAGACCGCTGTGATCTACAGTAGTGTACACATATAGAGACACAGTGTTAGTTGTGGCTGAGGATGCGCTGGCTTCCGTGTTCAGCCTCGCCTCCGAGGCTGGTGCCGACAGAAGCCCTTGGGGAGCCCCCAGTAGGTGAGTTGGGGGCCCCCCTGCAGGAGGGCAGCTCGGTGACCTCAGGGCTGGCCTCGTCAGACCAGCGGCTGGGCCGGATGTCTACCCACCACCAGGCCTTCCTTCCCCCCCCGTCCCTCACTGAATTTTCTCATTCATCTGTTCACCTTTTAAATAGAGCCGAGTGGCTCTAAAGTCCACAACAGAAGGGACTTTCCTGACGGTCCAGTGGTTGGGAGTCTGCGCGTCCACTGCAGGGGGCACGTGTTCCATCGTGGGTCCGGGAACGAAGATCCCACGTGCCTTGCCGTGCAGCAAAGAAAGAAAGAGCACGATAAAGTCCTTTCAGGGGCGTCAGTTACGGAAGGCCGTAGGACTACGGAGTCTTAGGACGTGATGGAACCGCAGCTGTGTTTCTTCTTGAAGTGGAAGGTCAGAGAACATTCTGAGCACAGACCCACAAGGCAGTTATTTTGCTGTGAGAAGGGCAAGGGGCAGGGGAGGCTTATTTCTGGTTTCTGATTTCACTTCGGAGCATCTGATAGAGCATCTTATTCTAGGTGTCAAACAACCCACGTGTCTTTTGTGTGAACTCTTTTTCTCAGCGCACCCACCCGGCTTCCTCCCGGGGTCCCGTTTATTCCCCAGCCGATCGCTGAGCCCCGTTCTCTCCCTCAGGCTGAGACAGACTCCGGGGGAGCCCCAGGCCCCTAGGGCCCTGGCCCCGCCTCTGGAGCGCGCCTTCCAGGCCCGCGGCCCCCCGGCTCTCCTGGGCTCATCCGTGCGGGGCCAGCACCACGGGGGCTGCGGAGCTCTGCGCTCCAGCGGAGGGGAGATGACCCCCCGGCTCTGATGGTGTGAGCTGCGGGTCAGCCGTGAGCAGTGACCAGTGGCCTTTCTGCACCAGTGCGTCATTAAATTATCGGGGCTGAAAGAAGGACGAAGCGGTGATGTGCCTTTAGGTTTATTGTGATTTTATGTCCTCCAGGTCATTACTGAAGGAAGGGGAGAAGCTGGGCGTTTTATTGCCTGTGTTTGTTCAGTGGAGGCTTACTCTGGAACTTATTCCGGGGGTAAATAGCCCACAGGTTATATGTAAGTCAGCATCTGAAAGTGCTTAGAGCTTTACTTAAGGATGAGCAGAATCTCATAATTAAACAATACACTGCATAGGCCGTTTTTCTTCTGTAATCTTATTTATCATCATAAGATTTAAACCTGAGCCCCAGCCTGAGAGAGAATGGCCTGCTGGGGCGAGAGGCATGCAGCAGGAACTGGGTGCAGAGCCCCTCCCGGTACCTGCCAGGTCCCTGGAGGGGTGGTGGGTGTCAGGGCTGTCAGAGCCCCAGCTCCTGGGGGTCAGGATGCAACTTTTGTCTCTGAGACAAAGAAGCAAACCAGGGGCAGAAGCTGGGCGGCAGCGACCTGGAGTCTCGAGAGGAGGGGCCGGGGGCCACGCGGCACGGTTTCCTCTTGGGCGCCCAGGAGCCCGGTTGTAAACAGCAGCAAGAAGGCCTGGCCTTCCTGGGGCCCAGGGCAGTGCCGGGGGCAGGCGTGAGCAAGGAATTGAGGGCAGCCCCGCCGGGCAGGGGACGTGCAGGCTGATGGGGGCTTGGCGCCTGGGTCAAGACAGAGCCTGGCACAGGGCCTGGCTTCCATGGGGCAAGGCCTCTGCGTCCACCACTGCCTCCCAGGCAAAGAGGGCCCTCTGTATCAGGGTCGGTAAAGGTCCAGCACACAGGCCCACGGAATCTTTTTATCTTGGAATGTTGTGTCTCTATCTTGTTCTCAGATGATTCTTCAAACTGCAGAACTCTAAGCTGGGGAGTCTTGCTTATACATCTTCAGATTTCTCTGAATCTGGTAGATATTTCATGGAATAGATTCCTTCGTTGTTGTTGTTTAGCCACTAAACAACTGTTGTTGTTGTAAGTTGTGTCCGACTTTTTGCGACCCCACGGACTGTAGCCCACCAGGCTCCTCTGTCCATGGAACTTTCTAGGCAAGAATAGTGGAGTGGGTTGCCATGTCCTTCTCCAGGGGATCCTCCTGACCTAGGGATCGAACCCACGTCTCCTGCATTGGCAGGCGGATTCCTTACCGCTGAGCCAGAGGGAAGCCCACAGATTCTTGTGTTCTTGCTCTGTGTTCACTTCTGGCTTTTCTCGTTCCTTCCCCTCCTGTCTTCAGTCTAAACTGTGGAACAGAGGCTCACTCAGAGCAGCGACAGGTGAGAGACCGAGGAGACTAGTCACTGACAGGGGAGATCACTCCTGGTTCCAGAACTGCTAAGTCGGCCCAGACAAGCCTCCCGTAATTAGGGACAGGAGACGAAATGCCCCGAGGCGGGAGCGTTTCTGATTTTCCTCTGGAGAAGCTTGGCCAGCCTGCCGGTTGCAGAGTGTCCCGAGTTACTCATACATTCTCTTTTTGGCTCTGTCCTGCATGGTGTCTCAGATTTTCTAAGTTCGCATTGTCTTAGATGGCAAATCTAAGTGAAAATATTTATAGTCGTCTCTCCATCTCTGTAGGAGATTGTTTCCACAACCCCTGCGGACACCAAAGTTGGTGGATGCTCAAATCTGTTATCTAAAATGGTGTAAGATTTGCATATAACCTACATACATCCTGCCATATACTTTAAATTATCTCTAGATTACTCATAATACTTAATACAATGCAAATGCTATGTAAATAGTTGCCAACACTCTGCAAATCCAAGTTTTGGTTTTTGGAACTTTCTGTAAATTTTTTTTTTTAGTATTTTTACTCCACAGTCAGTTGAATCCAAGGATGCAGAATACGTGGATAGGAGGGTAGACTGTACTACATTTTTGTTGCATTTTGACTTAAAAAGCAATGTCTCCCACTTAATTGTCTTTTTGTTTGCCGTTTTATTCTCCAGACTTACTATTTTGTGTTAGCTGTTTGTGCTGGTAGTTGCTCAGCCAGGGTTTGTAATGTGAACTAAATCCTATAGAATTAATATTTATGGTAAAAAAAATCATGGCTTTATGGAATAATGGCAATGTTCCAAAAATTTATTCTAGTGAATAATAAACTCACTTGTGGAAAAGACCTCTACATGTACGCAGTTCCCAGAGTTTCAAGCTCTCTTGCCACACTCGAGAGCTTCCTTTCCGTTACCAAACATTTCCTAGGCTGTTGCGTGTTACGTGTTGGTGAACAAGGTGGGCAGGGGCTGCAGCGGAAGACGCAGGGAACTGGGACGGAAAAGACCACACTCTGATGGCGGATCAGAAGGCCCGCCTGTCAGTGCAGAGAGCTATACTCGCTGTTTTCGTAACGTTTATTTTTATTTCCTAGTTTTGGCTCTGCTGGGTCTTCACTGTGGCGATGGCTTTTCTCGGGTTGTGCCGAGCAGGGCTGCTCTCTAGTTGCCGAGCTCGGGCTCCTTATCGCGGGGCTTCTCCCGCAGAGCAGGGCCTCGGGTTCCAGCGCTCGGCCCCAGAGCACTGTTCAGGAGCTGTAGCCCTCGGGCTCAGATGCCCCTCAGCATGCGGGATCTTCCTGGGTCAGAGATCGGAGCCGCGTCTCCTGCACCGGCAGGCGGATTCTGTACCACTGAGCCCCCAGGGAAGCCGGCACCTACTCATGGTTAGTAAATGAGTGACGTGGACAGGCCGGTTGTTGTTAACTTCTCTCTGGTGAGACCGCGTCCCCCCTGCTGGTCCCCGTGTCTCAGCTCCCGGAGGTCCCGCGCCCCTGTGTGTAAACTCCAGCCGGGCACCGAGGTGGCTCTCCGGTGAGGGCAGCTGGTGCTGACTGTGCCCAACCTCCGCACTGACCCGGCTCCCTGGGGACGTAGCTGCTGCGGTTCCCAGGAGTCCTGTCTGCGGCAGGTTACACATTCCCACCCTAGGCAGACAGCCATGTGGAAATGCCCCCGAGTTCAGGAGAATCGAGTCCGTTTGTGATAGGAGAGCTTTTCCCACGTTAACCCAAGTTCCATGAGAGGTGCTAGCTCCCTTCTCTCACGTGCGGGACTGGGGAAGAAGCCCACCCAGGAATCCAGGCTCTGTCGCACCCCAAGAGCCAAAGGTGGAGGCGACGGGAGAAAGAGCTCCGTCGTGGTGATCAGCCTTGGCCTCGGTCGTGCTCAGGGGTGTAGGGGACCTGCAAAGGTGTGAACTGATGGAGCTTGAAACTGATCGGCAGTAGCCGCGTAGACTCAGCAGTGCTCACACCGCAGGGCCACACGTGGGGAGTCGGGAGGATGAGGAATTAGGAAGGGTGATCCAGACGGAGCCACCGAGGATTCGAGGATCAGAAGGACCAGGATGGAGCTGCACTTAGGAGACTAGTCTGCCCCATTTCACAGGGGAGACCAGGGACGGCTGCTTGAAAACCTCAGGAGAGAAGAGACGGCGGAGGACTGTCTGAGTCTGGTCTTACCTGGAGCTGTCCTCTGTGAGCGGTGGATTCCCTGACGGAGGTGGAACCAGTTTGCACTCAGCTTTCTGTCTGTTCCTGGAAAGAAAACCAAACAGTGACCTCAGGGAAGCAGATGGCGCTCAGGGAACAGACGAGGCCTTGAAACCAGAGAGCTTTGAGAAAATATGGCACCAAAGCCATAACTCAATGGGATGGAATGAAGAAGGACTAATTGAGGGAGGAGAAAGCATTCTTTTAGACTTGAAACATATTTTCGGGGGGAAAAAACACACACAGACACAGAAAAAGTAGGGCAATGCTGAGGAATTGGCCTACCATGAAGAAAAGAAAGATGGAAAAATATGATTGAAGAGAGAAGAAAGTTCATCATGTCTTCCTCTGTCATGTCGGTGAGTCCATGGCATTCTTCACTCATCGAGCAGGAAGGGACCTGCCCATCGTCCACATCCGTAGACGGAATTGCCCAGCGGGGCTGAAACCAGACCCTGGTGACACAGGACCCAGGGGAGGTGCTGGGGCGTATGGGCGGAGTGGGGAAGCGCGGGGCGGCCTTGGAGCAGGGCTGGGAGGCGAGGCTGGGGGGCTCGGGGCTAAAGGTGCTCGGTGGGTGGAGCTGGGTCCCCCTTCCCGGGAGCAATGAGGGGCCGGGCTCCCCGGGCTGGCCCTGGAGTGAGGGCGCTCTGTTTCTTCCCGAGTCCTTTTCGGAGGAGGAGGTGGGTGCTGACCCCAGACAGCTGGGAGGGGCCGAGCGTCCTGGAAGGGAGGAGGAGCCCTGGACCCTCAGGCCTGGCTTCTCTGTTAGCCGCAGGCTCTTTCCCTGTGTCCGCGTTCATGTCAGACTGCTTTGCAGAATCCCGAGTTTAAGCAGTCTTCTCTGGGGGCATGGTGCTTATTCCTGGTTCACAGCCCGCTCTGCTTCCCTAAATAACCCCTGAGCGCCCCCTAGATTGCCCGCCCGGCGCTTCCTAACTCCCAGCCCCTCTCCCCCACCGCCTCCCAGCTCCCCGCTTGCCGCCGGTGGGCGGGCTCCACGGCCGGTGACCCCTCAGACTTGGCGCACTGACACCTGGCCTCTCCCTGCCTCCCGGACGGGATGGAAGCGAGGTGTCTACCCCACTACCAGCTGCCCCCGGGGCCTGGCCGGGCAGGGGTCCCCCCGAGAGCCCACCCTCCTGTGTGTTCAGAGCACCGTTGTCCCTAATCAGAGGCAGCACATCTTCAATGAAGAGCGTTCCAGAAATAATTCCCTGAACACATGCTGTTGCTTTCTTAAAAAAAAAACAAAACAATCTCTTTATTGACCTGGATGCTATAAAAGGTTGTCTTGGAGGGGAACTCTAGACATTTCTGGCTTTGGACTTGGCTGGGAGAGCTCGGGTACCCGATTTTCTTTATCAGAAAGAAGACCTGGGGTTGACCAGCGCTCTGTCCCCGAGA